ATCTTCCTATGGGATCAAAACCAATAAGTAACAAATGGGTGTTTAGAAGAAAGTACAATACCGATGGGTCTATACTAACATTCAAAGCTAGATTAGTAGCTAAAGGCTTTAAACAAAAGCATGGTATAGACGATTTCGATACATATGCTCCGGTAGCTAGATTGGCATCCATAAGAGTGCTATTTGCAATTGCATCAATATGCAATTTGCATGTGCATCAAATGGATGTTAAGACGGCTTTTCTAAATGGTGATCTTGATGAGGAAATCTATATAAAACAACCCGAAGGGTTTGTACTACTTGGAAATGAAAAGAAAGTATGCAAGTTAGTCAAGTCACTTTATGGTTTAAAGCAAGCACCAAAACAATGGCATGAGAAATTTGATAATGTCATTTTATCTCATGGTTTTAAGCATAATAATGCGGATAAATGCATATACTCTAAATTTACAAATAGTTTTGGTGTGATAATATGCTTATAGGTAGAGGCTAATTCTTGTATGTTGAAATGGAAGAACAAAATTCATATGGGATGATAAAATTAACCTTATCGAATTATTCCATTTGGAAGCGCAAAATGAAAGATTTTCTTATTGTTAAAGATTTGTATAGGCATGTTATGGGCAAGTCAAAGCCAAAAAAAATAAGTGATGATGATTGAGAAATATTACACATAAAAGCTGCTGCTACGATTAGGCAATGGGTTGATATTAATATTTTTAATCACATTTCTGAAGAAATGGAAGCCGATGCATTTTGAAAGAAATTAGAGGCTATGTATGAGAAAAATACCTCCAGAAATAAAGTCTCGATCATTAGAAGACTTGTGAATTTGAAGTATAAAGATGGAAAAAGTATGACTGAGCATACTAGTGATTTTCAAGGCTTGGTGAACCAATTGGCCGCAATGAAAATGCCTCTTGAAGATGAGTTGCAAACATTGTTACTTCTTAGCTCATTGCCTGATAGTTGGGAAACGTTAGTGGTATCACTAAGCACTTCAGTGCCTAAAAGAAAGCTAACCATGGAGATGGTTAAAGAAAGTTTGTTGAGTGAAGAAGCCAGAAGAAAGTAAAAGGATGAATCTTTTTCTAAGGTACTTGTTTCTGAAAAATAAGAAACACGTGGAAGAAGTAAAATAGGCATCCTCAGGGTCATGGCAAAAAGGATACATTCAGCGGAAAATCTAAATACAAGTAAAATGTCAAGTGTTATCACTGCAACAAGATGGGCCACATGAAGAAAGAATGCAAAATTTGGAAAAGAGAACAGGGTGAAGGAAATAAAGATGAGAAAGAGACTAATACAGTAGCCGCCGAAGGTGATGTTATCATCATTTGTAATGACAGTTGTGTTAATCTTGTGTGCCAGGAAAATGATTGGGTGATTGATTCTGGCGCCTCGTTTCATGTTACTCCTCATGGTGATTTCTTCACTTCTTACTCTATCGGTAATTTTGGCAATGTCAAAATGGGAAATAGTGGTGCCTCTAAAATTGTGGGCATTGGAGATATTTGCTTGGAAACTAATCTTAGAAGCAAGTTGGTACTCAAGGATGTTAGGCATGTTCCGGATATTCGCCTAAACTTGATCTCCACAGGCATACTTGATGATGAGGGTTTTACTAGTTATTTTGGTGAAAGCAAGTGGAAGCTCACCAAAGGTTCTCTAGTGGTTGGGAAAGGAAATGAATACACTCTATGTCATGCAGCTAAGCTTCACAAAGAAGAGATAAATGTTGTTCAGAAGGGTGCAATCATTGATCTATGGCACAAGAGGCTTGGCCACGTCAGTGAGAAAGGACTACAACTTCTTGCTCTGGCAAGCTTAACTCACGTGCATCATTAGCAAAAGAAATTGAGTGCTTCCGTGAGTTGCAGCCGTGAAAACCAGAGAAAGAGAAGGGGAGAAAAGGAGAGAGAGAAAGAGAAAAGGGGTAGGGTTTTGGTGCTTGTGCAAGACGATTTGGTGGCAAAACGTTGTCGGTTTCGGCTCAAATTTGATGTGGTGAATCCTTGTGGCGAGCTCTTCCAATCTACCAGACTTGATTTCTCATTTAGCATCTCTTTAGTAATCTCTTGAGTACTCTTAATTTGGTGAGACCTAAGCTTTTCTTTGGTGTTATTGTTATCATCCATCTTTGATGATGATGTCTATATTGTTAGTGAACCAAGAATAGTGTTTCTTGATGATATTATTATTGTGAGCCTCTTGTTTGATTCTAGAGAGAAACTTTGTAATCTCATTGTTAATATAGTGGAAGAAATTTAAGTGGCCTAAGGGTCCCGTGATTTTTACTCTCGATATGAGAGGTTTTTCACACTAAAAATTGGTGTTTCATTTGTGGTTGATTATTTTAATTAATTGTTGCATTGGTCGTTTTGCTTTATTGACATTTTACTTGAGATCCTATTTTAACACACAAAAAAAGAAAATTTTATTCCGTAATTATTAGTATTAATTTTCCCAACAAAAGAAAACCCTAGAATTTTCTATATTTTCACCTGGCTCCCAAAAGGCATGTTATTTTTATCCGTATTTGAATTTTATTTGAATTGGAACCACTCTTTAGGGTTTTCACGTATTCATGGGTTATGATCAGAAGATTTACGAGAGGAGGAAGAAGAAAAATAATGGCAGCACTGATACAGTCCGAAAACCGTTTGACGAATTGGCTGACGAGCTAAAGATCGAAATTTTACGCAGAATACCAACAAATATTGTTGCAGATCTTGCTTATGTTTCCAAATCACGGTTTCGCTTAATCACAGTTTTTTGCTTTCCCAAGATGATCACCTCTGGGCTTCCCTATGGCGGAATCATGCTCCGCCAGCTGGAAGCACCTCCCTCGCCCCGCCCCGTCCAAATGCTATTCACATTATGCAAAGTCGCTGATGGCGTCAAGTGTCCGGGATATCGTGTGCGGTACACTCTGAGTTCCTGCAACGGGCTGCATCTCTTTTGCTGCTACAATGTGGTGGCAGCGGCAGCGGCAGCAGAGGGTAATAGTCGATCGGAGACCTCGGATTCCTATTATGTTCTCAACCTCGTCACCTACCAACATGTGGTTGTTGCTTCAACTTGTGTAACCTCTCTTGATCAAACCTATGCCGCGATTGCTTATGACGCTTCTGAATCTTGTTTCTTTAGAATTGTTCAGTTTCAAGGTTTTAGATGTTTAAACGTTTATAATTCGGAGAATAGGAGCTGGAAAAAACTTACATTCCGACTCGAATATCATGTTGTTATGGCTGAGTGGATTGATGAATATTTGTTTTAGGGGCGATATATAGACAACCTATGTCTGGACATTTGTTGAGGTTTGTGGTTGACAGATAATTGAGTTTGAGGGATCAGGCGTGGGTTATTGATCTGCCTAAAGTTGCTAAGAAATGCGCAAAAGGATGTGTTGGACTGAGCAAATATCAGATTAAATTTATGGCTTTCAACGAGGAATTCTGCCTCTGTATCTGGGTGCTTACAGATACTTATGAATGGTCACTACTACGTCGGCTCTCAATAATCCATGAATTACGTGACTTCGACTACAATTTTTGCAAACTCTTAGGTTTTCAACGGTATTCTGATATCGTTTATATCAGTCTGAATCATCGGCATGGTGAGTCAGTAATTATGCTTGTTAATTTTAGCAAGAATATTTCACCTGGAAAGAAGTACCTCTACAAAATTAAAAAATGATCGTTGCGTCATAAGTAAAGACTTTTATGAAGAAATTTAAGTTTCTATAAAATGCTTTTAGAATGGTATATTAGTATTTTGTTGCCTAGTTTCAGACTTTCCTTGTATATGAACCTTATTTATTTTGCCAAAGGGTGCATCAAACTTGTCATGCTTTCTTATAGCACAGTGCACATGATCAATTTGAAAACCTTTTGGCACAGTATTTGAACTCTTTGATTATTTTTGAATTTAATGAATGTGTTACGTGTACTATCAACCAATATGCCTGAATGGCACCTACTCCAAACTCTGTGGAGGAGGTGAAGGTGTCTAAATTTTACCTGCATATTTGTAATTTAAAGCATCTGAAGTGGTACTATCTCGAATCGTTTATTCTTGAATTTTCTAGAAGTGGCCGTGTTTTAAGGCCTTTGAGGATCTTTATGATAATTTCTCTTTGATTTATCTTACAATGTCTGCTAATTTTCATTTTGTTGGTAGATGGACAACGCAGTTCAATATTCGAGCATGGGCATGGCATCGAGGAGATGCTACACAAGATAAAGTGTCTCCATAATGAGCTAAAGTCAGCCCCACCCTCTTTGTTGCTGCCTTGAGTATCATGTTGCTGTGGCCGAGTGGATGCGTTTTTTTTTATCAAGGGGCAATATATGGACTAATTATGTGTCTCGGCTTTTGCCAAGAGTTTTTGTTGACAAAAAAGTGAGTTTGAAGGATCAAGCTCAGGGAATCTACGCGTCCAAGCTACCTTGCTGAGAACATAAATCAGTTCCTTAAAAGATCTCCAACAATGTTCTTCTTTATCTGAAGTATCAAACTTTGCTCAGAGGAAATCTGTAACTTATTTTTTCTTTTGAAAAAATCGAGATGTCCATTCAACTGGATCTGTAGACATTGGATTTCATGAGTTCTAAAACACTCTTTTGGGTGAACTCTATTTGGATACTGATGTCTTAAGAGATTGAAAGTGATTTTCTTTTGCAGCATTATTTTTAGCTTCTTTTTACTAGCTAGTTTGGCCACCCTTTTGATACACATGCAGAAGTTGCCATAGCATTTGCCATTAAAGGAAGACGATGATCCTTAGAGACCCCTCCAAGAGATTGCACCCAGTTATGTACCATGAGAAACCAAACTTGAAGGTTTCAGCCTTTGGTTGCGGAGGTTTGAGCGAAGAAAAATACATATAATTTCCATTTTACTTTAGCTGAACTACGTGTCGTTATGAAAACTACACAGTTTATATCGCATTCCGCAAGGTCGTTATAGTTCCCCAGACAGGGGAGACAAGTAAAAAAGAAACAAGGAAAGAGAGATATCATCACCTATAAAGATTCCAAGAGTCGCCATTTGGCCCTCATTACTCTCATTCAGTTTATTATATAGGCAAATCTTTGAAAATAACCAATACAGAACAGAACAGATCTCGAGCAACAAATTCCACAATCATTAAACAATAGAAAAGAAAAGCTAATTAAGATAACTTGGCAGAGAGGGTATCAGCTAAGTTTGAAATGGTTGCCTCAGACAATGCTGAAGTCCCACCAAGAAGCCACTTCTTGATCGTCTCCACTACATTTGCATTCTCCACTATATACTTCGACTCTTCCTTCCCCTCCGTTGTGACTACAATCTGAGGAAACGAAGTCAAAACAATGTGTTAGTTTTGACATTTTAAGAGGGAGAAAGGGGATTAGTACTTGTGCCCCCTAATATTTTAGTGATCTAGTATCTTTCGTCTTTTAAAAATGTGGCAATCAAATTCCTATTTGGAGTTAAATTTAGTGAAATATTGTCTTATTTAAGGGTCTAAAATGTCAAAGTATGAGAAGTTTAACCCGTTTAGGGAGCAAAAATCCTAAAAAAGTTACTATATGATTCTGTTCAAAATTTAACTTGTGTTAACAATTGGAGTTGATTGCCACCATTTCCTAAATTTAAGGACTAAACTGTTAAAGAAATAAAAAAAAAAGTTGAAACTGGAAGCACGATAAATTGAGGGAACATAGAGGCTAAAAACAAAAACAAAAAGGGCATTCAAATCATAATTTTTAATTTTGACATTTAAATTTTAAATTTTTTTTTTTAAATGCAGTAACAAAATTAATAATATAAGTTTAAGTATACCAGATAAACGGGTTCTTAGTGATTTACCTCAGCAGTAGTTGAAGTTGCTGGGAAATGGTAAGTGATGACAGACTGTTTCTTGAGATATTTGGACTGGAAAAAGTCAACGATTTTCTCCAAAGCCTCTTCCTCCTCTTCCTCATACTTGTCATCTGCCGCCAATCGGTCCCTCAAAGCGCTCTCGATCTGAACTCCATATTGCGCGCCTTTGATCTCCTTGATCACCACAATTCTTACCAACTTCTCCACAGGAGCTGTTTTTTTGTTTACAAGTGTAAATCCGTTAAGATAGCTTTTCCATCAAAAATTTATACATTAAAATTTTAGAATTATATATATATATATATATATATATATATATTACTTCATATGTTCGATTAAAAAATTAAATTGTGGTTGAACCTATGAAACAAACGCGCGGTATTAATTACCTGAAATGAGAGCTGTAAAGAAGTCATCGTCTTTCGCGAGCTCATTTCCCGTCTTGCCCTTCCACTGCTCTAAATGATTCACAACCACGGAGTCCAAGTAGACTCCGATGGCCGTGAATTTGATTTGAAGAAAGTGTACCTCAATGTCTGTGATACCTGTTTCATATGTAATTTTGCACTCCAGTTATTATTTGCAAATATATATATATATATATATATATATATATATACACACATATGTATGTATTTGTAATGAACTAGGAAAAGTACAAGTGGAATTACCATGACCCAGAAGAGCTAATGGCTTGGTGATCGTGATCTCTTTAGGAAAAGGGATTTCATCAACGATCACGACTTCAGAACCCACTGTGATGGATAAAGAAAAATCAGAAAAAGATAAAAGAAAGATGACATAAAAAAACTTATAAATCATGTTATACTATAAAAAAAGTTCCGTAGCTAAGACAAAACAAGAGAGAGATGAAGGCCGTACTTCTAGTTTATGTGGCCGGTGAGGAGTTGATTGTATCTTTTGATCAAAAGGAGAAGATTGAAGAAGAATAGAGCAGAGAAATGTGGAGGATTTTGATAGAAAATGAAGGATTTAGCTGATATTTAATAATAATAATAATAAGTGTCTCTTTTAAGCGCAGTTGTTTACTAATTTAAAAAAAAATAAAAATAAATCTATCTTCCAGTTGGCATCGTGGTTGGTGAAATTTGACAATATTTTTCATCATTTGTGAGTTCATCTCATTTTCTTCCTCTTTGACTAGTATCTAACGTTGAAATTCCAAAAATAGCCCCCCAACTGTCCTTCAAACTCTCATGTTTCGGTTTTTACAATTCTCAACTATCAACGGCTCACGCTCTTTTTAAGTTTTGGCGTTACATTCACACCAAGATTGTCGTTTTTCTCATTCAGTTTGATACAATGTCCTTCCTAGTGGTCTCCGCTATCCTCACCCGCTTATCATGACGTGTTGGTCAATTCAAGTGTCCTACAATAAGTTTATTTTGAGTATATTTCTTTTTTTTTTTTAATATAAAATGCTTAGGTGAAAAACATACAGGAAACGTGATTCAATAATCAATAGTATAACTCTCCTCACGTGTTTCATTCAAACTTACAGACAGAACGAATTATCTATCACGGTTGTGATTTTCTATAGTTTTAAGGTCATCTGACATTCTGACTTAATATTAGTGTTTCTATTACAAAAAATAAAGAATAAATCGAGGCTTTTGAGCTGCTTGGAAATTAGTTTCAAGGGCATTAATGACAAAGAAGTGAAGATTTTGGCCGAAATTAGGTTGAATTTTAAGTTTGAACTTGTTAAAAGGACTTCATCCACCCACGTTCCCGTTTGTGTGGCAGCCGCTCGTTTTACCTACCTACCCTGGTTGTTAAGCTTGGGGTATATCTACTTAATAGACATTCCCATTCTTATTTAAAGTCAACAAAACAGGACAAATTTGTCAGTTTGTCATTCTGCTTTCATCTTTTTGGTCACGTTCACTTCATCGATTCGAGTTTAGAATTTGAGTTTTGTTACAGTAAAAAATTATCAGAAACAGTTACATCTAACTTTTTTACTACAGTAAAAAGTTCTCACATAAAATCACATCTCAACTCGAATTATAAACTCGAATCAGTAAAATAAACGGACTAAGGGTTCAATGTGGGTCAAGATCTTGGGCTCGTTGTGGGCTGACACTCCTCAATGCGCAAGTGTGTCAAAACCTTTTCAGAGTTCACAAGCACTGTTATAAGATTTTTATTGTTGATTAAGATCTTCCGATTAATATAATTCTTTAATTAAAGTGTATTAATTAATAATAAGAGGTGAAAATTTAAAATTCAAAGGTATTTGTCTCAATTTTTTCCTTTCTCAAAAGGGAAAACTTACTTAGTTCAGTAGTACCCTGCTACTGACATCCATGAAAGATTTGTGATACTGTTATATTTCATTACGTTGCCTTTTCTATGATAGTTATAGTACGCTTACCGCAGTCACTAGTAACTGGAACCAGTTGGTGGCCGGAATCACTCAGCAGGTGACCATTGGTCATCTGCTCTTGTCGGTTATCAGAGTTGGTGAGTGACCATTAGTCATCTCCGAAGTCAAGGAGTGACCATTAGTCATCCGTTGATGCTGGTCAACTGAGTTACTTGATGGATGATTGTTTGTCATCCATCGATCCTTGTCGCCAGAATTCAGTGATCACTAGTGTGTGACTATTCACCTGGTGATTGATAACCTTTGAAGATTTGTGTTGGTTATTGGAGTCACTCAGTGTGCCACTACGTGCCACCCACCGTGTTGGCCAAAAAAAATAATAATAATAAATCTCGCCGCCACGAGAAGACCACTAGTAGCACATGCCGCGCCCGATGGGCAAGGCCGATAAAGCTTACATGCATAAACCTTCTTTGATCTTGTGAGAGTTCGGTGTTGAAAAAGAATGACGAAATCCGTGCGATACGGCCATTGAAAATTAGCGGTACTTCACTAATAAACTTAATTCCATAGTGGAATGGCAAAAATCTAAAGAGTATTAAAAGTTAAAAAGACATTTAAATCTAAGCGGATAGTCAAAGAGTTTAGATTCACTAATTTGCTCTAGGTACTTTCTTGGAAGAGTCTTTTAAAAGCCCAACAGTGCTTTTTTTAAGAAAAGGGAAGGCGCATGAGCTACAAGAAATGGCTAAGTCACTAGTCAACGGTACACATGCTTGTTTATGTACAACTATTTGTTTATATCACGATTCACGACTAATTTTTAACAATAGAATTTAATTTAACTTTAAGTTTCGCATATTAGTGTGTACACATGACATCTCCAACATAGTTTTACATGATAATTTATGATTGGGTGAAGAGAGCTAAATAATATTGATCACCATTGATGATATTTGCCATCACATTTTGGCAACATGATGCATTGACAAGATGATAACAAATTGATAGGATTATATTAGTAATTAGTAATTAATATAATAAGTGGTTAGTGGTTTGTTATTATGGTTGATTTGTTATGTTTGTTAAGTAGTTAGTAGTCAGTTAGGCCTTGGGATTGGTGAGTGGATTAAGAGATAGTGAGTATAAATATAACAGAGATAGAATAAGGGATTATTATTCAATTTGTGAAACTTCCGAGAGAAAATAGTTTAGGGAGAGCAAGAGATCTCTCAAATATCCCCATGTCTCTTTCTGTAACCCAATTTTCGCCATTGATATTAATCAAAGCTTCATGTTAGCATTTCTCTTTCTGATTTGTCATTTTAAATTGGTTGTTTGGATTGGAGCTTATCAAATTGGTATCAGAGCACTTTCTTGGGCGAAATTCATAGAAGATGGAGGGAACATATGGACGTTGGCAGCAATTAGAGAAGCCAATGTTTTCTGGAGAAGATCCGGATGTGTGGATAGCAAGAGTAGAAGAATATTTCTTGAAAAATCGATTTTAAGAGCAAGAAAAAGTGATGTTCATTGGGGAGTTCATGGAAGGTAAAGCTCTTCAGTGGTTTCAATGGGAGGATAGAAGGCGGCCATTCGTTTGTTGGAGTGCTTTTAAGACGCATTTGTTTCAATGTTTCCAACCAGCAAAGGGAAATAGTTCGATTGCGAAGGTTGAAGCCATGGTTCAAAATGTGGAACAACTTCTAAAGAGGATGGAGGAGAGATTTGGAGCAGCGGGGGCATAGACCATAGCAGCAGATCGACGTCAAGAGCTATCAAATTGCAAGGTGAATGGCGATCTGGAGTCGAAATCTAGGTTTTCAGATCCTAGAGTTTCCAATCTTGGGTTTTTGGAGGTTCGCGACCAAATCTAGGAGCCCGAATCCGACGAGCGACGCTAGAGGAAACGCGATCAGAACCCGATGAACACTGCCAACGATCAACACCATATGAGCTGTGAACTGGTCTGTGTGACGATTTGTGATTAGATCTGAGTGGGCCGACGCAACCAGTTCTGGAATCGCGGGAGGATGACAACGATTCGATCAATTTTTCATGATCGGGTGCGATATCGCTCAGATCTGAGTCAATCGGCACCAATCTGAGGGCAGATGATGATCGAAGGCCGGGGAAGGAGGCAGATCTTCCCAGAGAAGAGGCTAGGGTTTTCAGACTTAGAGATGTTGGCCAGGATCGTGTGGAACCGCACAAGGAAAGGCAAATCAGACTGTCGAAGGGGAAAGTGGCTGAACGCTAGGAGAACCCGCGCAGTGGAGGGGTCGATCTCGACCCAATCTGCAACGGGACTAGCAGAACGGCGTCGGTTGCTGCTTGGGAAGCCCCGATTTGCAACGGGGAGGGCTGATCGACGCCAGATTGGGCCTGGGCGGTGCTCAGGGTTGGCGAGAGTTACGATTCATCCATAATCTTTTGGATCCACAACCTGGAGGTCAAATCGGCGGGGAACGGTGCCGTGGAGTGCTGATTGGCAATGGGCTGGAGCTGAACTTCGACCAAAGGCCGCGCGGAGGAGATCCGGTGGACGGGGCACTGACAGACGGGGAAAGGCAGAGAGGGGGGCTTGTCTGGCTACGTGATTCAGAGCGGGAAGCCAGCCCCAATTTGAGCCCATCTGGGGCTCGTCGGGTTAGAGAATTAGACTCAGATTTGGCTGGGTCTTGCGATTCTAGTGTGGCCAGAGTCACATTAGGCTTGGTTGGGCCTAATTCAGGCGTAATAGGTTTAATATGGATATTCAGCGTGAGTTCCAGCAAGATTTTAACTGGGTGCCGTGATTCTGGCGCGATTGAGGCTGATATTCGCACAATTGGGGATGGGCTTCGTGATTATGGTGCATTTGGGGCATATTTAGGTGAGCTAAGTGATGGGTTCACCTTTCCAAGGCTCTCTATTTTTGGGTAATTAGCACTGAGTTGGGTTCTTTGAAAGTTGCTGCTACCTTTGACGTTCCAAGGTTCACGTGCATTGAAATGGAAAGAAGATGGAATCATTCAAGTACAATTACCTGATCAACACCTTGAGGACAAGGTGTCTTGGGGAGGGGAGTAATGATAGGATTATGTTAGTAATTAGTAATCAATATAATAAGTGGTTGGTGGTTTGTTATTAGGGTTGGTTTGTTATGTTTGTTAAGTAGTTAGTTGTTAGTTAGGCCTTGGGATTGGTGAGTGGATTAAGAGATAGTGAGTATAAATAGAATAGAGGTAGAATAAGGGATTATTATTCAGTTTGTGAAACTTTCGAGAGAAGATAGTCTACGGAGAACAAGTGATCTCTTAAATATCCCCATATCTCTTTCTGTGACCCAATTTCCGTCATTAATATTAATCAAAGCTTCCTATTAGTATTTTTCTTTCCGATTTGTCATTTTTAATTGGTTGTTTGGATTGGAGCTTATCACAAATCCAACTAAAGCATTCTCAAGGTAAGGTTAGGCATACCTAACTTGTGAGAGCCTCGTCTGATATGAAGTTGTTTATGCTTAGAGCTTGTTGTCTAGCTCAACCAATACTAGTAACTTTCAAGCATTTAATAATTTTGAGAATTTTTCAGAATAAGCTCGACTTGGACTATTATATATCTTCACCAGAATGCTAAAGTGGCAATTTTTTTAACTTTTATTGCTTGAGATGATCTTAAGAGCTAGTCTCACTTTGAGACAAAAATGAAATTCCTTATGTGAAGTTCATCCGACATCTCTCCTTAATTTGGCAAAAGGCACTATACTAATTCCCACCGTGTTATAGCAGTTGTCTAGTCGTTTTGGTTACTCAAATATAGAACATAAAGAACAAGTCATTTTCATGACAAAGATTTTTGTCTCTACTGGCTAGAATTGAGCGCAGCCACCTAGTCAATGAACATATAAAAATAGATAAATTTGTTGGATTATCCTTCCTTATTAGTTTATAATTCTTTACTTTGACAGATTGAAACTCTTAGGGTGTGTTTGGTTGCAGTGAGAGAATAGTAATATGAATAGTAATGAGAATAGTAATGTAATAGAATAGAAATGAAAAATGATTCATTTGTTTGGTTTTACTTTTATAAATACAATAGAATGAGATATAAATATTTTCATTTTGACAAAATTACCCCTCATGTTAATATAACTAATATCATATATATTAATATTATCATTTAATAACTAATATTATATATAAAAAATTATAAGGATATAATATAGATAATTATAATTATCGTTATATAATTATTTATTATAATACAATCATAATATATAATATAATAAAATAATAATATTGTGATTATTTTATATTATAATGTTACAACTATATTATATTATTAAAAATATAGTATAATTGTTAAATATAATAATATAATATAATATAACATATTATACTTATAATATATAATATAGTATATTATCATTTATAATTATAGTATATTATCTATTATCTATTATAATATAAATTTATATTGTAATTATATAAATACTTAATTTATCTTATTATAATTATAATATTATATATTTAAAATAATAAAATTTATAATGATAAATATAATTATTATTAATTACAATATCACAATTATATTGTATATTATATTAATAAATATAATTACAATGTATAATACGTAATATAAGATATTATTATAATATTAAATATGATATATTATAATGTATGTATATAATTATAATATATTATATTATATGTTATAAGATATAATTATATTATATAAATTATTATAATATAATATTAATTATATTATAAATATTAATATAATAATTATAATATTCAAGGGTAATGATGGAAAAGAAAATTAAAAGAGCTTGGAATGGGCATTCTTCTCATATGAGAAATGAATGATGATTCACCCATTTGATAGAAAAATCATTCCATTTTGAATGGCCATTCATTTTCCTAAAATCAACCGAACATGAGAATGAACATAAATTCCTTTCTATTATTTTCCATTCCTCCCAACCAAACACACCCTTATTCCTTTTAATTTCCCCTACATATTTGTCAAGCATCCTCTTTCTTCCGATTGTAATCTGATAATGGAGATCTTATCTGAAACTACTGTTCTTCTTGTAACACTACTAGCCCTTGTCGTTGCATACTTGAACTTCAAATTCAAAGGGTCATCACCTTCTCGAGGCAAGAAACTCCCGCCGGGGTCCTACGGCCTTCCACTGATAGGAGAGTCCATAAGCTTTGTGAGGGCACAGAAGCTGAACAAGACTGCTCAATGGATTCACGACCGTGTCAACAAGCATGGACCGGTGTTCAAAACCTCAATTTTGGGTTCAAAAGTGGTGATCCTGACCGGACAAGCTGGTAACCGGTTTGTGTTCAATGGCGGCGATGGCGCTCTTTCGCTAAACCAACCGAAATCTGTGACCAAAATACTTGGAAAGTACAGCCTCTTTGAGATCACAGGGTCTAGGCATAAGATCATTAGGGGTGCCGTAGCTGCGTTTGTAAAACCCGAAAGTATTCAAAGATACTTGGGAGATATGGAATCTGTAATCCAGCAAAAACTCTTCAAGGTACTTGATTGTTCCTGTATTTGACGTCTAGGGACAAGATTGTTTATCCCAAAAGCATGTTAAAACGTGGTTAAATTTTTCTCTCTGTTTTTTTTTTTTTAATTGGCTATGGCCTAGTGATCATAAGGTATTATTCTGACGCGAGTAGAAGGACACTCAAACTTTTCGAGTAATAAGACTTAAAACTACAAATATACGACGAAGCAACTCATGTCTTTCTATTGCTTTACTGGATTCACAATTAATTCTATGAATCCTTAGGAATGTTGTTGTATTTCGTATTGGTGTATTATTTTTTATTTATTTGATTATTTTTATTTTTCAAAATTAGTTCTATGTCTATATCCTGTCTCATTGGTATTTGTGATTTAAAACGCGGTTAAAACTAATCTTTTACATTGGGTTTATTCTAAGTGATAAGATATCATTTTCAATTGAGTAGTAAACCCAAACATACTTTAGGACTCTCGGACTTTTTGTCTAATAAAACTTGAATACAAAGTAAGACGGAACAACTTAGAACTTTCTATTATTGTGTTGGATTCGAATTCACAATTAATATCTTGATCTTATCTTATGATTGATGTATAATGTATTCTTGTTTATTTAATATTATTACAATTTTTAGTACTTGTATGCGTATCTTCCAGGAACTTGATGGTAAGGACGTGGTATATGCCGTGCCATTGATGAAGAAGATCGCGTTTAATGTCATTTGCGGAGTATTTTTTGGATTACCAGACGACGACGAAAGAGATGAACTCTTGAAAGATTTTTCAACGACTGTAAAAGGGATGTGGACTGTTCCAGTGGATTTTCCAGGAACAGTGTTCCACAGAGCATTAACAGCACGAGAAAGATTGTGTAAGAAACTGTCGAATCTGATTGGGATTAGAAGGAGGCAAATTGAAGAAGGGACACCTCATGACGATGTCATCACAAGCTTTCTGATTCTCAGAGACGAAAATGGCGAGCCTTTGTTTGAAGCTGAGATTCTTGACCTTTCACTGGCTTTGATCATTGCTAGCCACGACACCGTCGCTGTTGTCCTCGGCCTCTTCGTACGACAGCTTGCTAAGGATGCCGAAATATTCGAAAAGGTTCTTGAAGGTAATTAAAAATAAGAACATAGATAGAGGCGTTTGTGATGGTTCCATCAGAGGGACCCTATTTTCCCATAACATTTAATTGGCATATAACATTGACGTAGAAAAAATGTTACACTGGTCAGTGATAGCTAGATTTCTTGATATTACGCCTTTTCAACGTCATTAATATATACACATATGAGCATGTATCGTAACTTCTTGCTAGTAAAATTGGATAGTTAGAATTGATTGATGAACAAGATTACACATATATGATGTAAGTTTGTCATAAATTAAAAGCGTGGTGGTGATGGTTCTCACAGAGCACAAGGAAGTTGATAATGCCAAAAGGGGAAGAGGGGGGGAGAAGCTCAATTGGAATGAAATCCAAATGATGAAGTATACATGGAGAGTGGCTCAAGAGCTCATGAGGTTTGATCCACCAGTTTTTGGCAACTTTAGACTTGCTGTTAGGGACATTAAGTTTGATGATTATGATATTCCCAAAGGCTGGCAGGTGAATATCATTTACAGTCCTCTCTTATTAAATATCAAACACTAATTTCCTCCTCAAAAGTATATACATGCACATATATATATATATATATATAAATGTAGATCTATCCCATGAATGTTCTATGATAGCTATTTTAATCTTCAGTATGTGATGGAGGTATATAGATAAAGGATTCTTAAAAAAAATAATGAAAAGAGCAATTAGATTGCAAAAATAAAGAATTTCTTATCCTATAATATATACCTACATAAATTAGGTGAAAACCTCTTAACTTTTTCTGAGGGTAATCAATTTTTGTTTCCCCTTACTGTCATTCCTTGTTTTAACTGTATTATATTATGCATCATTTATAATCAACAAAGCCCATCTTTTTTGGCTTAATTGCAACACATAAAAGACAATGCTACTCACATTTCACAACATATCATTCAAAGTTTTGGTCACGTTATTTTATGTTTTTGTGCAAACTTATTTTAATCTTTTTTCTATATAATATTTTAGTGCATCTCACGACTTGATTATGGTTTTGGGATTAAAACCTTTCCAATGGTGTTGGTCACAACAGGTCTTTTGGGCTACATCTGGGACACATATGGACAACAACATTTTTGATGATGCATTCAAGTTTGATCCTTCACGGTTCGAGAGTCCGACGAGTTCATACCCTCCGTACACCTACATTCCGTTCGGAGCAGGCCCGAGAATCTGCCCCGGTGCTGAGTTTGCTCGGGTCGAGATTCTTCTGGTGATCCATCACATGATCACGAAGTATAGATGGAAACAAATGATTACTGATGAGCCCATCACTCGGCAGCCAGTTCCATTCCCTGCCAAGGGCCTACCTATCATACTTTATCCCTCCAACCACGTATAGAAACTAAGGTCTGTTCAGTTCTCTGATTCGAGTTTTTAATTCGAGTTGAGATGTAATTTTATGTGAGAGTTTTTTACTGTAGCAAAAAAGTTAGATGTGACTGTTTGTGAGAGCTTTTCACTATAGCAAAACTCGAATTCTAAACTCGAATTAGCGAAATGAACGAGGCCTAATAGAACTCTATTTTTTTTAGCATTGAGATGATTTTTTTTTCTTTTTTTTTTTGGTTTTAAATAGATAAGTCTGTAGTAGAACACGTGTCTATATTTTTTATGGGTTGAACACAGTTCTACACCATCTTATAAAATCATAATCATATCAGATTAAATAGAATGATAATTTAACAAAATTTATTGAAAACCTAATCAGAGTTGTATGCTCATGCGGAATTTTCCTGAAAATATTTGTGTAGGAGCAGAACATAAAAAGAACGAATTTACCAAACAAATCTTGGGTTGAGTCGCAGGCTAAGTCACTTTCTTTAAAACGTTTCGCGGCTCTACCCAAGATTGTGCAATCAGTATACCATCCCCGTCATCCCCAGGATAAAATAGCCCAGAATCACCTCTGTCTCGGACCTCCTCTGCACTGGAGAAAGCCGGAATACAAACACCCAAATATTGCTCAGAACACAGAAAGCAAAGAATGAAAAAGGATTTTTTTTTTTTTTTTTATAAACAGAGAGAGCTTTTACAAACTGTATTTTCCCAATGATTCTCTTTGCCTCTATTTAAAGAAAATTTTGTACAATAACAGTGAGAAAAATTAGGAACAAACCGTGAGAGAGTGGAGAGGATAGTGGAGGAAATCATGGAGAAAGATGATATGACCAAGTCATTTTTGTTCATCAACAGAGACTAGGTCTTCCCCTTTTTTGTTCAATAATAACGATTTTATTTGTTAATAGATAATCTCTTTAGAGATAACCACTTTTATTTTTAATTAAAAAATTCACACTGCTCCAACAATCCCCCACTTGAATTTTTAAAAAAACATTTCCATTGAGCAATACAATATAAGATCATGCATAAGCAAAGGTGTCTATCGACTTGAACCCTTACATAGTGAAGATGATTTAGATTATACTTGAGTAACTCGTAGTTTTGAACTCTATCTCTAACAACATCACACACGCAACCCTATCAGGGTGAAGTCCAAAAGCCCGTGCTTTACGGCCATGCACGTGTATCCCAGTCTAGTGAATGCTCTAGAGAATTTGCCCAAAATTCAGCGGCCACACTTCCACATTCACTTAGGTAAGTCTATCAAGAGTATTCCTATAGCTAAATACTCCACTCCACATAGAGATATAGAACCCATTAAGAGTTTAGAAATAACTCAACCTTCCATCGCTTCAGGATTTCATGCTTCAAAGTAAGATATTCGGAATAGAACAAAAATCATGATATTAGCATGATCCAATTCATATCACTTCATGACTTGTTATTTCCTAGGATCTCCAGTCCATAGGTTAGGTTTCCATCACAGGTGACTCATCAATCTAAGGGCATAAGTCCCATTCCTTTTAAGGTTTTGAAAACCTTTTCTCTAGCTAATCCTTTTGTCAAAGGGTCAGCCATGTTATCATCAGTACGTATATGATCCACTTTCACAGCTCCAGTAGAGAGATATTCTCTAATAGTATTGTGTTTACGACGTATTTGTCGCCTTTTCCGTTATAATAACGGTTCTGAATTTTCGCAATAGCTGCAGTACTATCGGAATGGATTAAGACAGCTGGGATCGGTCTCTCCTATAAAGGAATATCAGATAGCAGACTTCTTAACCATCCTGCTTCCTCACTAGCTGATGCTAGTGCTATCATCTCAGACTCCATGGTAGATTGAGCCAAGATAGTTTGTTTCTTAGACTTCCAAGAAACAGCTCCACCAGCTATGCTAAATATGTAGCTGCTAGTTGCCTTGGAGTCATCTGAAAGGGTGTTCCAATCAGCATCGCGATATCCTTCTAGGACAACGGGAAACTTCTGATAATGTAATCCAAGGTTCATAGTTCTCTTTAGGTACCTCATGACCCTTTCTATAGCATGCCAATGTTCAATACTAGGTCTACTAGTAAACCTGCATAGTAGTCCCACAGCATAAGCTATGCCGGGCCTAGTGCAATCAGCAGCATATCGAAGACTATCAATGATGCTCGCATACTCAAATTGTCTAACACCATCACTGGTGTTCTTGAACAACTTTACACTAGGATCATAAGGAGTACATGTTGGTTTACAGTTAAAGTAATTGTATTTCTTTAAGATCTTCTCAATGTAATGAGATTGATCCAAAGAAATTCCATTTTTAGACCTAGTTATCTTAATTCCAAGGATTACATTTGCTTTGCCGAGATCTTTCATATCAAAGTTAGCACATAGCATAGATTTCACATTATTCACAACATGAATATTAGAACCAAAAATCAAGAAGTCATCCACATAAAGACATATAATAGTGCAAACATCATTTTCAGATTTATAATAAATGCACTTGTCACTTTCATTCACTTTGAAACCATGTGAGATAATAAGATTATCAAACTTTTCATGACATTGCTTAGGTGCCTGTTTCAAACCATAAAGGGATTTATCTAATTTACACACTTTTTTTTCTTGACCAAGAATAACAAAACCTTCAGGTTGGTCCATATAAATCTCTTCTTCTAATTCACCATTAAAAAAAAAGTAGTTTTAACATCCATTTGGTGTACAACAAGATCATGAATAGTAGTAAGAGAAAATAACACTCGAATAGATGTAATTCTAGAAACAGGTGAAAAAGTGTCAAAGAAATCTACATTTTCTCTTTATTCTAAACCCCTTGGCTACAAGACGAACTTTATATTTATCGATAGTACCATCGGGTTTCAATTTCTTTTTAAGTATCCATTTACATCCTATTATTTTGCAGGCTGCAGGTAAATCTATTAGGTGCCATGTTTTATTAGACTCAAGAGAGTCCATCTCATCATCAACTGCCTCTTGCCACAAATTGGCATCTATAGAAGATAAGGCCTCTTGGAGGGTGTAAGGATCCTCCTCCAAAGTAAACACATGGAAGTCAGGACCATAATCCTTAATGGTGCGAGCTCATTTACTTTTCCTAGATTCAAACTATAATTCCTTATTAGACTCATTAATTCTAGTTATAGGCATATTACTCGATGTGGAGCCCCCACTATTCTTCAATATAAAAGGAAATCTATCTTCATAAAAGTCAGCATCATTTGATTCAATAATAACATGAGCATTCAAGTCAAAGAATCTGTAGGCTTTACTATTCACGACATAGCCAACAAACACACATTGATATGCTCTACTAGCAAGTTTTTTTTCTTTTTGGATCAGGAATCCGAAGATAAGCCAAACAACCCCAAGTCCCAAAGTAAGACAAGTTAGGAACTCTATTAAGCCCATAGCAAACAGTCAACAAAATTTATCCCCACTAATAAGAAGCAACACCAGAGTTAAGTAAAATAGCAACTACTGATTCAGTAAAAGTTCTATTTTTTCTTTTAGCCTTGCCATTCATTTCAGGAGAGTAAGGTGCAGTTTTCTCATGAATAATCCCGTGGGATTTATAAAAATCAATAAAAATATTAGAATCATAATCAGTGCCTCTATCACTACGCAATCTCTTTATTTTTCTATTGCACTGATTTTCAATTTCTGTCACAAATAATTTGAACATGTCAAACGCTTCATTTTTATTTTTCATGAGATAAACAAAAGTATAGTCAGAGCAGTCATCAATGAATGCAATAAAATAACATTTTTCATTTCTAGTCAAGATACCATCAAATTCACAAATGCCAGAATGATTAAATCAATAGGTTCAGATTCTCTAACAACTGATTTATGTGGGGTTTTGGTAATTTTAGCTTGACTACAATATTCACATTTTTCAAAATCATTCAAAGACAATTTAGGAATTAGTTCTAAGCTACTCATATTTTTAATAATGCGTTTGTTAACATGACAAAGTCTAGCATGCCAAGTATTAAAAGAACACAACATGTAAGCAGAAGGTGCAACTTTATTAGCATCAACATTCAATTTAAACATTCCATCAGTAGCATACTCTTTTCCAACAAAAATATTATTTTTAGTAATGGTATACAAATCAGCCCCAATAGTTTGAGTAAACCCAGCCTTGTTGAGAAGGTAGCCCGAAACTAAGTTCTTCCCCATCTCCGGAGTATGCAGAACATCCTTAACGATGACAGTCTTTCCAGAGGTAAACTTTAATTCCACCTCACCAGTACCAGCAACAATAGTGGAGTAGGAATCACCCAACAACACTTTCTTGTCTTCAGTTTCATAATAGGACTTGAACAAAGCACGATCATAGCAAACATGGCGAGAAGCACCAGTGTCTACCCACCACCCTTCGGATCCTCCAATAATGTTGATTTCAGAAATCATAGCAATAAGTTGCTCTTTGGTAAGGTTCGCCTGCGGAGCAGGACGTCGCATATCCCGGCAGTTCCGAGCCATATGGCCCGGCTTCCCACAGTTAAAACATGAAAACTGTCCCAAATCATTCCTTGAAGGGGGTTTGTGTAGAGGTGGATTTCTTATTAGTATTGTTGTTGGAAACAACAAGTACATCATCTTTTTGATCTTGTTTGCAAGCTTCCTCCTTAATCAGAAGGCGAGTGATTAAACTTTCTAAAGAAAACTCCTTAGTTTTGTGCCTGAGAACACTCTTAAAATCTTTCCAGGCAATTTGTCAATCAAAACAACAACTTGAAATTGTTCATCTAGAGACATACCTTCAGAAATGATTTCATGTGCAATCTTTTGTAGCTCATGTGACTGAGCCTCCACATATTTGTCATCAGTCATTTGATATTTCAAGTATCGACTGACTGCATATTTCTTCGTTTCAGCCTCCTCAGTGTCATATTTCTTCTGAAGTGCATCCCATATCTCCTTTGCAGATTTGTTAGAACTATAGTAGTCATAGAAATCATCAGACAAACCATTCAGAATAAAATTCTTGCAAGGAAAATCATCTTCAACCAAGGACTTATATTCCTTAGTTTGTTTAGCATTTGGTTTTTCAGTTAATATGGGGTTTTCAGAAGTACAGACATATGCAACTTTTTCATGGTTAGGAAAAATAACATCTTATGTTTCCATCTTTTAAAATTAAGCCCCTCAAAGTGAAAAGGCTTGTTCAGATCACCAGTAGCAGAATCAATTTCAGTAGTCATGGCAGAAGAACGTCTTAAAATTGTAGGAGCAGAACATAAAAAGAACGAATTTACCAAACAAATTTTGGGTTGAGTCACGGACTAAGTCATTTTTTTAAGACGTTTCGCGGCTCTGCCCAAGGTTGTGCAAGCAGTATACCAGCCCTGTCGTCCCCAGGATAAAATATTTTCTTACAAGCTTCTTGGCCTCTAGTTTCTAATATCTATTATCCTCAAGCCAATTCCGAGGGAAATAAAAAGTCAATATTGGGATGTGATAGCCGTTGAACATGACTTAAACAAGTCATAAATGAAATGTATTGATACGAACCCCAACCAAATACTTAAAATTAAAAGAGAAATTTTTGGTAATTCGAGGAACCAGGGCCTCCCAAGATAGTTTGATTCGTTGGAGGGAACCAAAACCTCCACACAAACTCACGTTTGATATAAAAATAGTCTGCACACCCTTTTCTCATTAATTCATCAAGTTTAAATAATAAAGAGATTATCACTTGATAACACTACAAAATTAAAGAAAATTGTACAAACTGTATTTTCCCAATGATTCTCTATGCCTCTATTTAAAGAAAATTGTATACAATAACAGTGAGAAAAATTAGGAACAAACCATGAGAGAGTGGAGAGGATAGTGGAGGAAATCCTGGAGAAAGATGATATGACCAAGTCATTTTTGTTCATCAACAGAGACTAGGTCTTTCCCTTTTTTTTGTTCAATAATAACGATTTTATTTGTTAATAGATAATCTCTTTAGAGATAACCACTTTTATTTTTAATTAAAAAATTCACACTGCTCCAAGAATTTGTGTTTGTGTCATCCCCGGGAAAAGAAAAGGCAAATGGCTAAAGTGATTTGGTTTATGGATTTTAAATTCAGTTTGTTTCCGTAGTAAACTAGTAAGACTAAGCAATTCGTACTTGTTCACTTTCGTTAGACATATGGCCCCATTTACTTCGCTGATTCGAGTTTTTTTACAGTAAAAAGCTCTCACAAACAATCACATCTAACTTTTTTGCTACAATAAAAAGCTCTCACATAAAGTCACATCTCAACTCGAATTCTAAATTCGAATCAGTTTGTGAAAAATGTAGTAGAAGGTTTCTTTTTTCTTTCTTCCTGGCTAAGGAGTTTGTAAGTTGATACTCATTTGATTGCATCCGTTTCCTAAATTGAGAGAGAGAAATGTTACATGCGGTTTGATTGATTGATTGATTTTTTTTTTTTTTTTGAGTAAATTGATTGAGTTTGATTTGGTTGTACAAGGTTTCCTCTTGTTAAATTTTGTCAACTCGTAGTAGACTATTGAAAGGAAACAAAATTGAATCCACGAAAAGTATCTGAGTTCAAACTTAAAGATAAAGCACAATTTAACTTTTAAGTACCATTCAATTAGAAAAAAGAAATCGAAAAACAATGTGATTTAAATAGATAATAATAAGCAACCTCAAAAACAAAAGGAAAAAAGAAAACCTAACTCCATCCCCTAAAAACAAGAGAACAAACTCAAAAAATGTGTAGTTTATTCGAACTTCGAAATAAATTGTCCATTTTTCTTTTACTGAATCCCTTTAATTAAAACCACAGAGAGAGAAAAAAAATTCATAAAATATAGTTTGAAATAACTTGCGGATTAATTTTTTTTTTTTTTCATTTTTTGAGGATGTCTACCCTTTTTTTTTCTTCATGTTTTTATCAACCTTTGTCACCTCTTATCGTTATTTTCTAAAGTTCTAATCGTTTTCAAACGTTGGTGACTTGATGGCATTTTAATAATTCCTTTCGTTTAATATTATTCTCGTTACACTTTCGATGTCGTTTTGTATATACTTGTCATCTATATTGTTAGTTGTTACCGCTTTAACACTTTGTCGTTTTCAAATGTTGCTATTGTTTGTTTTTACGTTTCACGTCGTTTTCAGGGCGATGTCCCTTTATAGACGTATGTTTCATATCTATGTAGTTGAATTTGTTGTTCTTTCAAAACCTCTGTCGTTTTCTACAGTTTTCAAATTTTGTTGTCGTTTCTGTCTTCCTTGTTCTTTACTGTTATTAAAACGAAAATATTTTCATTAATCTTTGTCGTTTTAAATCGACTGTCATTTTTATCATTGTTACTTTCCAAGAAAAAATAAATAAATAAATTTGTCATTCTCAAATGTTCACGTCTTTTTTCTTGTTGGCCTCATGTTACATGCCAAAATGTAATAAGCATTTTTCGATTTGAGAAAAATGAAAACAAAAAAAGAAATTCACAAATTTTAAAGGTGCAAATGATCAGAATTAAACTTTTTAGAGGAGCACTGAAGCATCAAAAGAACCTTTCTTAAATATGCCATTTTCATTCCACTCAAACAAATATTAAATTTATAGATTTTTAAAAAAGGTACTAAAATATATCACTGTTATAGAGTGAGATCTACATCAATATATTCTATACTGGATAGATATCATATTCATGAAATTCCAAAACTACGAAATAGAAGAAAATAAAACGAACAAATTCTACCAAAGAAAGAAATTCCTGAGGATCCCCTCTCTGGTGAGTATAATTTGTCAAATTTTTGGATGAAGATGAGAATGAATAAAGAGAAAAGACAAGACCCAAATCTATAATCGGTGTATTCCACAAAACCGCTTTTAAGCATCAAAATAACTATAGTTGTTCACACGAATTGCTTCCGAAGATCACAGGTTATCTCAATGTGATTGATGTTAGGCCGAGAATGGCCCTTTTCAAAAATTAGTAATATATTCAAGAATTCAA